TCTTTACTAATTGGAATTTTCTCATACAGCTTGAGCCAAGTGTGTCGTAGGATACCCTCTAGGTGATAGTTCTTGATTACTTTTTGATAAATAATTCGTTTTTATTGCGAAATAGGAGCACTATTTATCAATCTATAATAACAGACGTGAGGAAATTCTGTCTTTATTAAAGACAAAAATTTTTGAGGCAAAATACCCAAAAAGAAGTTTGCTAAAAATGAATCCGCCTCAACAAAATAGAACTTATCTACAAAAAATATTTGTAATGAATCAGGTTTTACCAAAGAAAAGCTTCGGACTTTCCTTGCTTGAAACGGGCATTTTCTTAGAATTAGAATTGCCCATTTTCGCAAAATGTGTTAGTTCAGGTGTAGATCCAGCGTGTTCTACGACCTGAAGAGGACCAACAATTGTGGCCGCACAACATCAAAGAGATTTTTCTGTTCCACATCCTCCTACTCTATTGTGGTTTCTTGTATACTGGGGTAAAGACCAGATTGAATCAGCAGTAGAAGTGGTAGACTGGGAAAAATGTATCCAGAAGAATGCAGTGGCGTGCGGAAGATAATCGCGGGCGGCCACATCCATTGACCACGTCGCTAAAGACAAAACATATTGCAATCGTTGGCGGCACACAGCCGCCGGCGAGCCGTAGCTATCTCTATCCTTCTAACGTGACGCCTGCGCCGCCAATCTGTGGCTGAAAAACCACCACGGTCTACGACTCTATCCCACTAGCGCCAATTTGTATATTTCCGTCCTTTATTCTGCCGAAGCCCGGCCCGCTAAAACCGCAAACAAGATGGTCTCTCTCTCGCCGCATTCGATACACTGCACTTGCTCTCTATCTCTCATGTACCCCTTTATGTTAGCTTCTGTTTTAATCTAATGATATTTCATCCTGCTTCCTCCGGCTGCCGACCAAGTGTAGCTATCCCGTCTCTACGCGTATTCCCCTGATAACTAAAGGGTTATCAAGCGCGCGAGTGCTACCGCTCGACGTAAAACGTGGCGGACAAGACTTTAGTGCTGTGTCTTGCTCTAACCGCTACTTTCCATGGGTATTTTTGGATGGGACGTAGGCCACTGTACGCGTGTTTCCTAGTTAATCAACAACATACTGTTAGAGTCTTTAGTTTTGGTTTTGAAGCCGCTGCGGGCCGACAAAACACCTCAATGAGTCCAAGGTTATTACAGTGCGATTAGGAGGATTTTTTCACTCACCGCCAGCGATCCGGAAGCGCAATCACTTGGAGGTGTCGGGGCAGAGTTGCGATGCGCATCATATCGCGTGCGATGTTCAAAAAGAGTTAAAAGTCCGCAACATGTGTACAAATACACCTGACGCGAGTGGGCGCTTATGATGTGAGTGCGTTATCCACCCCACCCCTAAAAAAGTTTCCATTCAGAAAAAGTGTTGACATGTGTTGCTTGGCAACCGTCGGAACGCTCCCTGTCACGTGCATTTTTTGACTGTCATTCGATGCATTTTTAATCGGGTGAGTTTTCGATTCAACACCGACTTGCAAGGGCCGAAGACATGTTTTACAAGGAGGGATTTCTCTGGTGTCACTTGCGCCCTTTCAAAAACCTTTAACTACCATCCGCCTCAGTAGCCGCAGCTCCAGCTTCACCTTGCTCAGCATGCATCTGACCAACGCTCAAACCCCAAACACTGCTTCTGCGGCTTCTCCGGAGAGCTCCAGTCTCATTAATGATACGTATACGAAAATGACATCGGATATCTTGGCGGAGAGGACTGTGAATGACTTCCTCTCGGAACATCCCGGTGAATTAGTGAGGACTGGCAGCCCCTTGTTTGTTTGCACGGTGCTTCCGCCCCATTGGAGGTCGAACAAGACGCTACCGGTTGCGTTCAAAGTGGTGGCTCTTGGTGATATTGGTGATGGTACGGTCGTGACTGTGAAAGCCGGCAACGACGAAAACTTTTGTGCGGAACTCAGAAATTGCACGGCTGTTATGAAAAATCAAGTAGCGAAATTTAACGATCTTAGGTTTGTGGGCCGGAGCGGACGAGGTAAGCACTTCTAACATTCTCCTTGAATACTGCCTAAGAAACGGTAATAAAGTGGTCAATATCAATGATCTGCCATTTGTTCCTATAAGTAAACGAATAGAAACCATCCTACAATTACTCTTACTCATATGTTGATGTTATTGCTAAATTTAACAAATCCGTTCATCATTCATCAAGTAACTCGCTCCATGCGAATCTTCCAGTGATGAGCGAGACTGGTTTTTGCCTTGCAAAAAAAGAAAGATCAACCGCAAGGGCAAAACCAAGTCCTGCAGGAGCAAAATATTGAACCACATTAAATATGTCCTGGTAGCCCTTAAATATGATAAGGAAATTGAACCGCTTTTAACGCTTAACATACAAACAAGCCTTTAAGTGAGAAGACACATAGTGGGTCACAAATAAAACAGGGGCTTAACATGACTCAGATGCAATGGTTTCCAGATGTTGTATGTGTCCTTTCTAGATTAACTAAAATTGATCGTGTCCGCATACCCCTACAAATATCTACAGCTGCATCAAGTTTGTTGTACTTTTTAAAGAATACCTAAATCATACTACATGAAAATATATCCCAGTTGGGTGAGGTCAGTCTACTAGAGCTGATGAGACAGTCAAAATATACTCGTCAATATTGTCGATAATTTCGAATCACAAGATAATTTTTTGTCCATTGGTTATTACCTTTTTATTTTATCATTATTGAATTAATTTTATTTCATTTTACGCCTTCTTTAAAAGCAAGACTACTTGCAAGACCAAGACTGAGACCAAGATTCTCTTTTAGTCAGCCGGACCAAGACCAAGACCATACAAGTATTGATCTCATTCTTAATTTGCTCTTCACAACCCAGCTTGTTAGGGTGACTTCATTTAAATTTTTTAATTGAAGTGTAAGACATCTGGTACCGAGAATTTAAGTAAATGTGCTCATTTCGGGTTCCACAGCAGGAGCAACAAACTTTATTATATCGTGGTTTAGCTGCAGCCTAAGTTTTTTTCTTCTTAGCGTCTCAAATCTCTCAAAATGGGCTACATAGAATGAAGTGAATAAAGTTTAACTCTTTTGTGGGAGAAAAGTCATAAAATCTGACTAAAAACACATTTAAGCTGAATGATGCAAGCAAGTGGAATCTGCGTTAAAATTATCAGAGCATATTTTTGTTTGCATTTGCCACAGAAAGAAATTTAAGATTATTACTGACTTTTTCTGATTATAATTTATAAGAAATTACTAACCATTGCAAAGTTAGAAGCAAAAATGTACAAGAAACAATTGTTAACAAGAACAAAATAACCCGAACAACTGATGCCTCGAGAACGATTGAAAAGGTGACAAGCTAATAAAACCTTTTTGAAGGAGCGTCCCACAAATAGTTTTTTGCAAATTAGGGTTAACTAAATATTTCTAACCTTTAAAAAACTTCTTCAGTCAAAGAAGAAACAGACCGTCGAACTATAAACAGCTCATATGCAAACGGCGGTTAAAAGTATCTGATCAGTTTGCAGGATCATTCTGGAAATGCGATCCGCAATTTGTCTGTTGTATTTAGTTTAATTTAGAAATTTTTAAGGTTAAGATAGTATACTTTGTCGCAACTGGAGCTTTCAGATTTTTGCTTGTTTTACGCGGAGCTAATAATCAAAGATAATAATTCGAAGTTGATCATCGATTGAACTTTTTTGCGTCAAAAAGGATTGAAATTCCCTTATACATAAACATTGAAAAATTCATTGTTAGAGAAAAAATTTCAGCTTACAATTTTTCAAATCTAAAACCGTTTCGATTTATGCTTGTGTACAAACGAAAACCCAAATATTTTATAATGGCACATATAGGTTTGTCGCTTCTAGAAAAACATTAGTTATCACTAAAATATTCCTATTGTAAAACTAACAAATGTGAACACAATACATTTCAAATCTTTTTTACATTCAATAATACACCTGGAGTACTATTTCTTAGTGATATTAATGTGGAAGCAGCAGCAGTTGTTGAAGATTTATCACACTCTTAACAAAAAATTGGCCTTTTCACAAAATAATTCAATTCTGACGATTCAGTTCTGATGATCGCGGTGGCGAATAAGTTCGGGTTTGATGTCCTCTTTCTAAAGTTGAAAACTCAGAAATTCTTCATGCAAAAGTCAATGTTTTGAATTTTTTTCTATGAAACTATTGAAACGACTTTCGATGTTTTCTTCTCACATTTTTCTCTTCATCACACCCTGTGATTTAATATTATTGGTCGAAAAGTGTCGCAGTCGATTTATGTGGTTCGTCAAAAATAGAAGAAAACTTTACAAGAACGGCTTATTTTTTAAATTAAAAATATAGCTTCAAAACATGTAATAAATTCAAAAGTGTTAGAACGAAGAAGTTACTTTAACCATTCAAACACATGTTTCGTATATTCCACACATTTCCACATGTTTGATAGATTCTACAGGCATGTTTTCACTATCTCCAATTTAAACCCTATTGGGCTTTTGAGACTATTTGTTTTTGTCTCTTTAATGGCTTGATTTATATCCATTTTTAGTTTTACATCTAGTTAACTTGAAAGCACTAGTTATTTAATTTAATAATTCTGGATGCTTGAAAATCAAATCGCTTATAGTTTATCGTATAAAGTCAATTTTTCATTAAAAAACTGTGATATTGTCTGTCATTCCAAGTTCAAAAACACTAAAACTTCGTTGAAGAAATCAATGAATCAATCATCAAAAATCGTCTTTAGCTTTGCTTCAACATGCGATTATAATCAGCCATTTATTAACAATTTACCTTGACGCTATTGTTTGTATAAAGTAGAAAATGTAACAGTATATGGGCATTTTAAAGGCTACCCAGAAATCTCGAAAAGTTTAATTTCGGTGCAATATACCAAAGACTTGCGTTTGGGAAATAGTTTGATGCAAATCGAAAATTTACAAGTAATCGATACTATTTCAAATTATACATGAAAAATTGATCTGAATGTATCTCTTTGTATAAATTATTTCAACCGCTGGAAAAATCGTGTTTCTATTCAAGTAGGAACCCATTATTTTCTTTCATGATACAAATGACAAATTATTTACAACCATTTACATTTTACATCATCAATCATTTCATGTAATATAACCATAAACGCATAACATAAACTGTAAAAACGTGTATTTTTTTACAATTCTAATCGATCCAAAAAAAACAACAACTCTTGGATGGGAAGAAATTTTCTTTTCATACAAAACCGCATCCGCATTTCGTACCGAATCACTATACTGGCTTCAGCTGCAGGCTGGATAGTTCATAAATATGGTCAATAAATCCATTTGAATTAGAAAGTGAATTAACGATAACAGCAATGAAAAAAATTCATATGAAAAGACTTATCAAGTAAAATTTTGTAAATTTTCTTGAAAATTCACAATGTCAGACACAGAAAACGCCGAGAAAACCGTGGGAAAGAAAGTGGCAGCCCACTAAGGCGGAGTCTCGTCAAAAATGCGCAGGGAAAACTGGAAAATTATGCGGCGGAAAAGCGGCAGCGTCTGGGAAAATCTGTCAGCGGCTTATAAAAGTTAATCTTCCTGAAAATGATCTGTTTTGTTTGCTTCCTGGTTTCTCATTTGTCACTTTTCAACCGGAGGCTGGTTTAGCACCGATAATTCCAGGTTGCGACCCTCTTAAATTACATTCGGTGTCATTCTTTCGCTTATTTATGCTGACCTATTTTTCCCGTTTTATCACTCATATTACCACATATTACAAAATCACACAACTACCGAATAAACCTTTGTATGATCACTCGATCCTAATAAAATTTTGTAGGCCAATTTGGACACCGAATTGCGCCTGAAAGTGAGGGATAATTGCATTTTCTCATATTGCACGATAGATTTGATAGGTTCGCCATTTTGCGTGAGGTTACAAGTGCATTTTAGGGATAAATGTTTCAGTCATAATCTCTGCGCCGCATTACTGACGGAAATTCGTTTTGTGACCAATGGATGCCCTCTCTATTACATTACGATCAATCAGCCTTTATTAGAACTGGATAGTGGTAACTAATCGACGAATATTTTGGTTTTGGTCATTAATTAATAAAAAAAGTATAATTAGAATAAACGGGTATTTTTTGCTTTTGTGCAGCATAAAAAGTATTTAATACTATGGTGTCAGCGCATATCTATAGTACACAGGTTGCTGAGATATCTGAGACACTTTGCAAATGAATTTCTTGAAGGAAAAAGTATATGTTTACGACTAAGAATTATGTTCAATACTTCGGCGAACACTCTGTATATTGGCAATATATTGTATAACCTTAGTTTCTTAATATTTGATTTTCTACTGTTCAATTATAAAAATATAAACATTAGCACAATGTAATGAAGCTATCGTATTTTTTCCTTGTATAGAAACGATTGTATAAAATTGTCCTTTAACTGCTGGGTCTTGTTCAATTATTTTCACATTTTTCTTGTTTGGCACATGCTAAAGCTCGTTATCTATTCGTTTCAACTTCCAGTGAAAAATTCACCGGACTGAATGTGTTTAACCCCGGTATTAGGGGTTTACGGCACCTCAAACAGACCGCTTCACATTTGCGCCGCTCACGAACATTTTTATTCAGTTGTGGTAAATTATTGAAAGACTTGTTACGCTTGTACATGCTAATAAAATTTGACGTTAAAACTGAAAAATTAATTGGAAAAATTCACGCTGTAATAGCAATAAATTATAACATGCTCAGAATGTGTCTTTTCACAGTTTCGTCATTCGAAAACCTCCTGATGTCTTCCTCCGCTCATTCCAATGAACACGAAGTTGGAAATTGTAGATATGAAATATATATGCAAAATAGGAAATCTAATTTTCCCTCCCTGGTAGAGCCTCAGTTATTAGTATGAAATTCTATGTAATCAGCTTTGCGGACCTTCCCACATTCATATATGAGTGTCGGTCAATTTATCCTCCAGGATGCGTTATACCTCGGGAATCAATTTTTATTAATTTTGTTCTTATTTCAATTGTAAGACACAAACTGAAACCAAACAGTGAATCTTTTTATTCACTAAAAAGGCCTTTCTCATTTTCAACAGATATTAAAAAACTAATGAATGTTCTAAAAAATCTTGAACAAAAAATCTAACGACAATTTTTGCAATACTCCAAGAAAAAATCATATAAAGCAAACCAGTTAAAAAGCTAAATCAATCGAAAAACCGAAAGTAAAACACAAACAAATTCCACTGATAATCCGCAGAACTGTCCGATAGGATAGTTCGTTACACAAATGAAAAACGCAAAGCGTTATCGATTAACAGTCAGCCACTTAATGTACATGCAGATATTTCGCTGGTCTGAATTTCCACGGGATTGCAATATGTGTGAGTTCATTTTGAAACCGATCGCATGCTTTGATTTCCAGTTAATATGGACATAACATTTTGTTTTCATGTGGATTTGTGCAAACCTGAAAACTGGGATAAGCTTTTAGTCCTCATTCACAACCACTTCTTCACACACTCTTTTTACTTGTTTTATTTAGGCACATCACTTCAATCTCGCAAAAATGTACATTAATGTAATTTTATACACGTGTTGCGTATTCCACTTTAAAGCGAAAAACCTAAACTCAGCTTGAAAATCCTCTCACTTAATCTATCGTTAGCAGATTTTTGTTAAGTAAATCGTCAATCATTCCAGCACAGAGGGTGGCTGATTGATATCTTAAGATTAAGATCCCGAAAAGGGTGCCAATTTAGTACGGTAAACATTTGGGATTTACCCAGCTCGAGATAATCGCACACTAATCTCGTAGAACGCGAATTAAATGGAGTACTCACATTATCAATAGTAAAACCGACTTCATCGTTGATTCAAAATGCGCTGAAAAACTCCATCGGAGTCAGTTTTTTGAATATTTCCTTGAAGTACTGTTCTATTGATATGGATGTTTGTCCAAAATGTTGACAAAACTCGAGCAGATTAATAGAGAATTAAAGATTTTCCTATTGCTATTAGAGTATTTGAATTAATGTAAAAGGTAATGAAATGCAAAAGAAAACTATAAAATTTTAGTTAATTGTCAAGTGCCAAAAACATATTGCAGGCGTCATTAGTTTCCAAACTCCGATAAATCCCCAACTCACAATTTAAGAGCTTTAATTGGTAAGCCTTGGATTATTAGCCTGGATTAATCAAGTGATCATCGAGCCATTCAAAACCAAAGAAGATGCCAAAAGTCCCGATATTGTTGAATTTTAACAAGACCCAAATAAATTTAATTTAAGCCGTGCTTTTACCGAGTTCACTTCGAAAATCGCTAAAACCATAACACAAACAGAAAAGCGGGAAAACGAAAAGTAAACGCGTTTGCCAGCGCAAACTTTTATTTTTAAATTAAATCCTATCAGTTTGAAGAGCGGCCTGGCCTGGCCTGGCTTTAACTTATGACATAAAGCGAAAGGGATTTCAACTTTACCAAACTGTCCATTTTCGAGTGGAGTTGGCGTGATGAAAATGTTTTTGATTAAGGCAATTTCTCGATTGTACTATTTTATGTCCGATTTCCCTAATGCGTTATCAATGCGAGTTTTCATTCATTTCGTCATTTGTTTATGTTAAATTGTTATGAGTTTAAAAGTACTGGACTTTGCTTTCTTCACAGAAGCAGACGGATTTTTATGAAATTTTCATCTACTCAATATTCTGTTGCAATTTTAATCAAACTTTTTGGCTGCTTTTTTCAACTAGAGTATTACGATCTAAATTCAATTCGCCTTTTCCAAATTCACTTGCTTAAACTTTGAGAGTTGTTTATTTCAAGCAAGTACTGAAACTTCACGCTTTTTTGCCTACACTTTCACATCGCCTGATTATTCGTTCCGTTACTGTCTTTCTGGGCTGAATTTCTTGTTTTCAATTTTGTACGTATCTTGCAGCCGCAATTACACGCAATTTAATGTCAAATATTGAATCATCCATAAAAGCTATTATAACGAAAATAAAATCTTGTTCATACTTTTCTTTCACGTTCAGTATTTTGTAACAGAGTAAATTTGATCTTTACTTTCATCGAATCTACCCAAATCTACGATTATTTTTCTTCATTTCAGGAAAAAGTTTTACGTTAACTATAATGGTATCAACATCTCCTCCTCAAGTAACTACCTACAATAAAGCCATCAAAGTTACAGTGGATGGACCAAGAGAGCCCAGATCCAAAACAAGTGAGTACGATCATTTTTTATTAACTATTTTAGGAAAAGCATGGAAATCAGATATGCATCTTTTACACAAAAAAATTCAAAAATGAAAGTAAAGTACAGTCTTAATGAAACTCGAAGGGTTGAATTTCTTTAAATTCTATTTGAATTGGATTGTCATTAAAAATGGTTTATTGTATCGAATCAGACTCTTTCTTTCGTTAGGAACAAATGTCAAATGGAAAACATTTTGATCCAGAAAAAGGATCCAATAGGCTAAAATGAAATTCGGCTAAATAAACCGAATAAGAAGGCAAAACGCAACTGATAACTACTAATCGAACTTAAGTGTATCAGCATCATCAAATGAGACTCCAAATAAAAGCCTAAAATTGTTTAAATTCGAAATGCTGAATTAAAAACCCGGAAAAATTGCTTGAAGGCAGAGTTTAACACACCAATAATAGAAAAAGTAATCTTTAAGCACAATTTTAGTTCGGCGGTAATGTACGAGAAAAAATGTTTTTGCGTTTGAGTACATACTTGAATTTGATTTTGCAGTCCGATTTAACGGAAATTTGTCAAAAAGTTATTAGAGAACGATTATGTTAGCAGACCATGATCTTTTTTGTGAGCAGATTTTTTCGTTTTCCGTTTTAAAAAAAATATATAATTTGAAATAAATAAGATTACATTATTTGACAATCCCAAAACTAAAGTGGTTTTTGTATTCTGCGTTGATAGACCATCCTTTTATCGGCCTTTAAGACAGAACAAACTAAAAACTAGTAAAAATCGCCCAATTATTTTGCAAAGTATTTTGCGCAACTAATTCACGTTAAACCACACGATCCGATGTATTTATTCTATTTTAGATAGCCTACGGAAAACGTAAAAAAGCAAGCAAAAAGGCCTTGATTTAAACATTTTTGTTATGCTAAACGCAGAATAATTAATGTTATTGTAAGGTTTTCGAGATGAATGAAATTCAGTAGACACCAGTTAAGTTTTATTATTTTTTCATCATCGAATCACTTCCTACGCTAAAAAGAGCGAGGCCATCAGTAAAACGCATTGTTTGATGGACCTCGAATTTCCATTATTCGAGTTACAAATAAAATGTCAAATGCAGCCGATAGTCCTCTCGAAGTAAACAAATTTAAAATTACAATTCCTGCAATAATGAAGCATGTAAAATAATTACTGCATAGGGGTTCGCCAGCCAGGATGAAAACGGTTTAACAGGAAATTTAATTGTTTCCTGCGAGTGTATATTAATTAACGTCTCCAACAGTTGCCATCAGCAGAAAGCTGCTGACGTTGCAGGACCGTGCGGAAAGGTCCTGCTGCTACACATAGAGCGACATCGTTTCTTCGACAGCTGGACATTTTCCTGATGACGTGTATTAAGTGGGGTGTGAAACTTTCTATTTGGAAACACTTGCAGGAAAACCGGTCGCGTTTTCCACTTAACGTTTAATAATCCAGGTTAATTTTCCGAGCTCGGTTCCTAAACAAGTGAACTGTCTGTAGCAAATACCTCCACTTTCAAGTGTAGCATCAAAGAGAAAATGAACTGAAGATTTTCTGAGAAGGTTGTTTTCGCAGCAAAGGGAAAGCAACTCAAGGAAATCGAGAAAATGACGATTGACGATGGAACATTTTGCCACTTAAAGATTCCATATAGAGAAAATAGCTCAAAGTGGACAGCAGGAAGCTCTGATTTTGATCCACCAGATCTATTTGCGTAAAAAAAAATTCCCGATGGTGCATTAATCGACTTCACTTGATTCAACAACAAGATGAGTGATTTTGCAAATTATAAGCAAAATCCTTCCAGTCGGTCGCTTCAGCCCACACAGACCTCGTCACAAACCGCTAGCATAAACCGAAAAAAGCATTGAAAACTAAAATTGCCATTTGTTTAGAAAGACGACAGCATATGGCACTTGACATTTTCAAAAGAAATTCAAATGCATTAAAGTGAATTTTACGAGCCAAATGCAGAACGTAAAAGATGTCGGTTAGCGTTTTAGGTGTTGGTGTCAAAGAGTTATGCCGACTGGTGTTCGGATAATAATACAAATAAACTGTTTATATGCGAATGTAATAAACATGAAAGCGACGATCAGTCACTTTGATTCGTCGTAGTCAATGGCAAGCGCTAAATCAGCCGAATCGTGCATTTAACAAGCTAAACTCTTTAGTTTTAACTTTGGCAATTAAAGCGGAAACTTAGGAAGAGGCATCGATAACATCTGAGAAAGGATACGTAGAACATGGCGAGTCTGTGTGCCGGATTTGATTCATACAAGCAGGCATTAATAAAACCGCAAGACTTGTTCGCAAGATGGAAACTTTGCCGGAGTTGTTTCAAGTTGCACTAATGCTAGCTGCAGCATAAGCGGCATTTAGTTCCGAAATACTCTGATGTTCACTTATATATTTCAAGTATGAAATGGGCGGATATGAAAGCTTAAATTAAATTGTTTTCTCAATAGCTGAGCTAACATCACGCTAATTAAATATCAACTAAGGCTAAGGCTTTTTATTTTACGATTATATGATTTACTGGTTTTCATGCCTCTATAAAATTTATAAAGTTCAATGCAATCAAACTTTCGGTATCAGGCCTGCCGCCATGCGTTTCTGATGTAATCAAGTGCAGATCTTGAGGTGTGCTAATCTCAGGCACCTCCAAAAACAGGAAGTATTTAATATTATAATAAATTACTCCGTAATAGAGACGAGAAATTTTGTGATATTTTATACTGAATTTGCAAGAATTAATTTTTTCAGCTTACAGCTTAGTCTAAAGCTTACTTTTTGTAGCTTCAGGTATCAAGTTCCTGGAGCATTAAAAATATCGAGCTTTCCAATGTTAATTAATTTGGATTGAAATTAAAAATGGGACAATCACTAGTTTGAATAAACGACAGCGGATATTTCACCAGCTTGACTAAGAATGTAATCAGCACATGTTGTAAATTTTCAAAAATAACCCGAATTCTAAATAAATACCGCCTTAAAAAAAGTTTATTGTCCGCATTTTCGGTGATTTAAAAATCAAACATTAAATAAATAAGATCATAAAGCGTCATTGTAAAGAGACAAAACAAGACATAAATTCGGAGAAACCAGATCATAAAGGTTAAAATGGGACATTTATTAGTCCGAAGTTACCCGCTATCCCTATCTAAGAATGTGTTAAATAGTCTGGAGAAAAGCGACTCGAACTTTGTCGGAATTTAAGTTGTTGGCGTCCCTCTTATTTGTGTTGTTTTGGGTACAGGTCTTAATGAATCATTAATAATCTTAAAAGTGAAATCCACCTCGAAATAAACTAAAATTGACCCCAGAGAGGCTTTATTTGTATTTCAATTGTTCTTGTTATAAAGTGCTCAGAAGAAGAAGAGAAACTTTTAGAAGTTTCTCAGTTGAAGAATGCTTGTTTTCGATGAAGTCGTTTGGTGCTGACATTTTCAAGGTAATCAAGTGATTAGAGACTACTTTAACAATCAACCAAGCCCTCGATTGACTGGAGCTACATTGTTATTGAGAATGCTTGCTGAAGATGTATGAGAAAAACCAGGTAGAAATGTCACTTAACTTGGGTTTAAATTAGGAAGACAACATTTGTTGCTTAAACCCCACATTTTTTATTCAAAAATTTCGATTTCATATTTTCAGAGCAACTTTTCTTAGTGTTCAAACTTACTAAAACTAGATTTTTTGTGAAAAGTTAAGTCAAAGTTGTGCCGAACCTTTCGGGATCGTCACTGTTTGGATGATTTAATTCTCTTTCAGTGTGCTTTTATTTAGTTTCTCAACAATGTTTCATGCGTTTGTTCTGCTGAACCTTTCCGGCACGGCACTGATGAACATGCATTTTGCTCAAGTCCGAAACGCACAGAACTTGTTTGAATAAATTAATTCTAAAAAATGTACTTCAAATGCACGATTTAATGTATTTTTCCGTTTTTTACTAGGTGGAATTTACATGTTAATCACACGTTTTTAAGCAACTGAAAAGGATTATTTGCAGGTTCAGGGTGGCCCGAAAGAAGCTTTTACAGCCTAAATCTGAAGGCGTCCAAAAACTTTGTTTGAAATTATGTAAAAATCTGTCGGTCCTTTTTTGGAATTTATGAATTCTAATTGCACTTAAGATCCTTGACGATTTTCAAACCGGTCAATTTGCTGCTGCTCTAAGGAAGCGTTTCGTATTTCAAACGTTCGCAAACAAATTAATTCTTCAACAAATGTATTATGACTATATATTGCGTAATAATGGGTGTATAATCTGATCATATACAGGTGATCGTTCAAGCTCCATTAAATTCGATAAATAGTTCGAGTGAGTAAAAATGACGATAACAATGGAACGTTTCCTTGACATACGGTGGAATAATCAGCGATTCATGTAAATTGAGTATTCTCGAGTGAATAGTTGGAAAGGGCGCGAGGCATGCACGGATGAGCGGGTACTAATTAATTAATCAAACCATTTGATTCACTAATTCCTTTCCAGAGCGAGCTCCAATTGTAAATTCGGAGAAGTTTAGTCCTTGATGAATATTCACTTCATTTTGTCTTCCGATCTGTCTTGTTTTTTTGTTACGTTTTTGCACTATTTGGCAGGTTTGGTTAGCGCAAATGCGAACACTATTTTACTAATAGAAGCCCTACTAGATCAGGACAGTAATCACTTTTAATGTAGTGCTTTCTTTTCTAGGACAACAGCAACAGTTTCACTTTGCCTTTGGACAGCGGCCGTTTCCGTTTGCGGCTTCAGACCCTTTATCCAGCTTTCGAATGCCGCCAATAGGAAATTGTAATAGTAAGTATCATTATTTTGTTAAATGTATTTTGTCAAATAAGCAGATAACAACAATTATGAAACGGCAAAAATCTTCACGCTAAATGTTTCAACAAATTTGCAACATGCTCGTTTGAAATTCTCTAATATAAGCAAGTTTCTCCAACTTCGAGTCATCTCCTTTTTATGATTCCCATAGGGCCTGCACTCGGAATGAAAACAAAACCCATTTATTATCCCCGGTAGTCTGGTGTAAATTAATAAAGTGATTTGAATCTTAACTAAGTCGAGGAGTGATTTATATTAATTTGTTGTTTTGTTCCGCAGAAGCGCGAATGTTTATCTATTTCATTAGTTATACAATCTTTGGTCTGCTCTAACTGCGAAAGTAAGTAGAAGAGGATTAACTAGTTGAGGAGAGTGTTTAATTATTGATTTTGCTTCTTCGGGGTAAATTTGGGTGATTAAAAATAAAATGTATGGTAATTTAAAAGCCTTGGGGTCTTGTTCTCTAGTAGATTTGTATTGTTTGATTAAGATTTACCATAATTAAAAAGAATTGTTCGCTGTTATGAACATTGCAAAATACAAATCATCAAATTGTGCTTGCACCCATGGCGAAAAGTTCTGTGATAGCGTGGAATATTTAAAAAATTGAGCTACAAATGAAACTTTATTGTTTCAGATATGACGCAATTTGGATTAACTACCACCAACTCGCATTGGGGCTACAGTGCGGCCGGTGCCTACTCGCCCTACTTCACTCCTAGCACGTTAGGCTCCTGTGCAGCCAGTTCTACGCAGTTTAATACTCCAGCTCTTGGCTTTTCAGGCGCCACTCCTGATCAAACCTCTGCTCAGGATGCATTCGCTACAGGTTCAGCAGTTAGCACATGTAAGTAGCTTTTGACTATTTTTGTAAGTTCTTCAAGTGAAGGATTAGGGAAACCTATTAGAGCAACGAGGAACCTTAACGCGATAGCAACTAACACAAAAGCTAGTGCTTCAGCATGAAAATTCCTCAGGTGTGAATTTTAGCTGAACAAAGAATAGGCGAGCAGCAAAACACAGACTATTGGGGTGCTTCTTAAAATGATCAACTAGATATCCAGCGTAAAAGTTTTGTAAAACCGACGAAAGTTTGTATCTACAGCTGCAAACAAACACCCACTAATATTTTTGCAACATTAGAACTTTACATTTTTTCACTTTACAAATTTACGTTCTTTTTTCACTTTTAGATAATGAAATACTTGATATAAGATGTTTGATACCAAAAATATAGTAATGAAAACATTTCCTCTAATGTTCACATAAGATGAATCGTTGAAGGTGGGACATCTGTTGAGTAACAACATTTTGTAGTAGATCGACGCATAAATTTCACTCATTTTTCGCCTGCTGGATAAAGCAAAATACAACATTCGTAAATAGTTTCAGCTGCTTAATTTGCACAATTCCTAACAGCAGAAGTTGAAAAAATCTGGAATCTGGCTATACTAAAGTGAGATTGACGATGAATTTAACAATCTCACGTTAAACCCCTCCGGTTTTCACACTCTCACACACTAATCCAAACGACTATATACAAGAACATCTTCCACACACTACAAGACCTTTTCCGAAAATAATAATTTGCATCTTCAACCCCACCTTCAAAGAATCGCCTTTCGCAACAATTGCTCCTCACTCAGCACACTCCATCCAGTTTTGCATACATTTGCTTTCACATACGTTTGTAGTCGAGAACATTAAACCACTTTAATACAAAAATACCCGTTTTCTCTTTTCAGTGTTACCCGATGGGGCAAGTACCGATCTTGACCAACACCTCGGCCTGATTTCCTCGCAGAATCACGCCAATCATCCTCAAACCACTCCACACACATCCTCACTGCTAGTACCCCGGTACTCGACGAATCATACTGAATTTAATCTATCTGGGCCGCGATCCCTCTCGGATAATTCGAGTGCTGCTGAAAGTCCCGTACAAGACGATCTTTTAACGTCGCAACCCACTTTGGGAGTTAACCATATCAATAGCTCGAGTACCACGAATTTCCCGCTGCATCAGAACATGAGCCAAGCAGCGTACTCTTCGAGTAACTGCAACAACTCCATTTATCCTGTACTACCTGGTTTGCTTTACTCGCAACTCTACTCGGCAGCTAATCATCAACCGCACAACTTCCACTCGTTGCACACTCACGGAGCTCAATCACACAATGATCTACAGAGTGTGATGGATCATTTGTCCACCAACACCAATCAGAGGCAAATGAACGGATCTACGGATTTGTTGTTGAACAATGGTACTTGTGCAGCTGCGGCACAACGACAAGATGATGGACACAGTAGAGTGTTGAATAGCAATGGACAGAGGGGTCCAGGACAGAATGCAGATGCTGTAGTATGGCGACCTTATTAAGTCTGATAACTTTTATTGTCGATTTTTTTGGCGACTGGTTTTCCTGTTCTAATGGTGATAAGTCTGTGCAATAATGCTTATTAATTCTGTTATGCTCGTTTAGTTACATGCTTATTAAAAAGCTCTGGAAGAACTAATTGCTCTATTTTGTGTGGAATAACGATGCTTTATAGATGTTTTAAAAGATTAGTAATAGTGTAGCTAATGATGAGGAGTTGGTGGTGCATAATAACTTTTCCAGACTTTAAAGGCTCAACACAATTTTTACCGGTGATATCAAACTTCTTTTTTGCTTCCTCTTTTAGGATTTTCTGTGAACCTCTTTGAGTGCTTCTTCGGTTTTGGCTACACTAATATGTCTTTCAGTAAAATTTTCTATAAAAATCAAACTTTTTGTAAAATTTTATTATTCGTTTATTGTTGGATAATCAAAATTTTAGTTAAATTTGTGTTATTCGATGTCATGCCAGATAAGTCGAAGCGAGATGTAAATATTAACATGCTCACCTGTAAATTGCAGATAAACTATGAAGTATCCATCATGTTGGGATGTTTTCCAGTAAGATAATCTGACTATTTAAACTAGGCTAACGGTACGAGTTATTTGGAGTGTATAAAGTGACTTTGTTAATAATGGTTTTTGTTCCGCTGTAAAATAATAAATATTATTGAAATAAATATGTATTAATTGAATGGTCGTGTCTAATTCCTCCTTTATGTACCACACTGCGACTAAAGAAAGTTTATAAAACTTTCAAGGGTGCATTAAATCAAGAAAAATGAGTTTCAAGGCAGCAATGGTCTAAAATAAACATTTTATAATCCCGTTTTTAGAGCCGAGTGGATTGATTTCGATCTAAGAATATCCGCAGTTAGACAAGCGCAAATAATTTTTTTGAAAACAAAAATAACAGGCAAGGACCTGGTAGAAAATGTTGTTGAGGATGCAACTTTAACAACCAGAAAATTTTCAACGCAAAAATACTGTGGTGAAATACCGATGCAGTTTAGGGGTTGAAAACGACTTATTTGCGGCGCAACGTGGCCATCTAGCAGAAAACGTTCAATGGCAGATTGTAGATAATAAAAAGGGTTCAGGGTAGACATTACAACTATTAAAATTGCCATTTATATACTTTAGAAATACAAAAAGGATGAAGTCGATTCTTCGTGGAAAATAACGATGGTTTTCTCGAAAAATGTACTTTTTTTTCGCCATTTTGACGGCTAATTCGAGATTTTGTGAAAAAGAGGTAAATACCTTACGCGAGAACCTCTTTTTCACAAAATTGAAATTTTCACAAAAAAAAGAGATACCGGTTTAGAATTTTTTATTATCTACAACTCTGCCATTGAACGTTTTCCGCTAGGAGGTCACGTGCCGGAGCAAATCACCCCTATACTGCATCCCTCTTTGCAATGTTTTTGTGCTTAAATTAAATTTTTTCTTAAAGTCGGAACCTCAACCACATTTTCCTCCTGGTCCTTGCCTGTAATWRWTTTTTTTACYATATGMAAATTCGTATYGCCAYTAGCTTKTGTGGWAAAAGRTGTTTAGATTACAAAATACGGCCRATATCATMKATCTMAYAWTWTACMWATYGTCCAAAWKGCTTCAAATATYKMAAWTTTTTTCCGTWCAGAATGCTCTAGCGATTCAATTTGTGGTCTTGCTGGATTTTTCTTAGTTATTCTGCAGASAAAGTTATATGRATTTCGAGTTTAGRCAACTTTCTGTTTTTGCTGTTTTTTGTTCTGCAAWAATGTCATTTGTYMTGTCACTTGTTCTAATTAGTTYTTGGATATTCGTWAATTAACRTATTAAACAAARCTACAACGTTCYCYTAAAAAAAAAAGTRAAAAGAAGCAACCGAGTGAWGCTCAGAAAAATMTAATTTWGGGCGTTTAATAAATAATTAATGATGSTTTCCAATATCCAAATATGAACTAATAATACAATSATCCGAGGGGATTCTGCAATTCCCTTCAGTTGGTAAATGGTGCACCTGCCACCACTAATTAGTAGCCTATAATGGCCTTCCGAATGTCGATTAGAGCTAATATACTGGCAGTCCGACTACGAAATATTATCGGATTCATATGTAGTGGCCACACGTGCGCTTTGGGTAATAGAAACACCCTAGATGATCGAACCTCGTTAGGTATTATTCGTATTGTGTTTTAATTAGTTGGCAAACCCTCAAACGAGACGGGCTAAGCAAGCATACAAATTGAGTTGAAGATTTTGGCGCTTCAGAGGTAAGTGTGATTCATAAATATTAGTAAGTACCTATATTTTGTAAAGAGAGTATGTGAAATTCATTGGGTTCAGATTTGATTTGTAAGAAAATTGACAAAATCAAAAAAATGTACTTTGAGCAACGTGCAAAAGTACTAATATTTATTTTTACTACACCCACACTCAGTAAAAGCAATATACATTTAATTCGTCTAATTAACTCAGTAAGAGAAATATTCAGCTGAACGGAAAACTTAATTGACACATGCAAGCAAAGTTTTAAACTTAGTATAAAATATATAGTCACTGATATAATTTAATCTTTTACAGGCAAACGAACACCCAATTTGCTGGTTTAAGCCTCATTCTTGTTGGATACACATGTCGCAGTTGGGGTAATTTAAATGAAAGAATTATCACTCAATAGCCTCATTTTAAATAAACCTCGTGAAATTCAAAATTCAATTTCTATGAGTCTTTTCTTGAACAATAGCAACAAAATGCCTATTCTTCTTAGTTAGTCCTCATAAAAGCTTTAATTTACGACTCTACTTGTTGCTGAAGGGAAGCAAAAAGAAACACGCTCAGCTATGGCAGCAACTATAAAACCTAAAGCAAAGTGAATTTGTGCTCCCCAGGGTGCTGTCATAGAGCGTAAACCCTTCCTAATCCTGATTAACACATACGTGTTATGTTGTTATTTTCTCAGCCCTATTCCATCCATACGTTACCCTTCTCCTTAAACTTTAATTCTCTATATTGATGTTTATGTTAGTTAGTTGTTCATCCGCGAAAACTTTCCGCATATATATTTGATCGCTTATTTTAGCTAGATTCCACCTAAGTACATAAAGTATTATGCGTCCTACCTGAAGAAACATAGTAGATTTTATTAGTAGTGCTACTGAGCCAACTGTTTGCAAGACAAGAAAGCGAATGTTGGACGAAGATGAAACAAAAGTGTTTTAAAAAGTATCAACTTTACATACTCTTTGTCTGGAAGAAATACCTGGGGAAGCTCGAATCTCAAAGAAGAAACTGCCGAATGTAGAATGTTCGGGTATGAAAAAAAAGTGAATAGTGTTTTTAGCATGGATTCCTCAAAAACACGGCTTCTAAACCTCCAAAATAATTATAAATCTATTGCCAAGTAAGGCGTAATAATAAGGTTCTTCAACCACTCCGCATGTACAATAACTTCTTTTCATAAAAAAGTACATCAAAAATATCTTGAATCAAATGAGTGCGCTATTGTAATCGAAACTATCCGATCCCATCGTGAAATATTCACGCGATAGCTGACCGAACTAATTAATTACTGCGGAAATTAGTGCTTTAATATATAATTTATTGATTGCTTTATTATAGTTGCCGAAATTCCACTAGGTTTATTTATTTGAATATAATTAAATGCAAACAATTGGTTTGCGTGACTGTTTATTAAATCTTATTGTAACTGTTTATTTAAATAAACACGAAAAACTCTGCTTTCTGCCTAATATCTTGAGAGCTAATAAATTTCCAGTTCACATAATAGCAAATTAACCGAAAGAGCTCGCGTTCTCTAGCTGTAAACACGAACCGAACAGAAAAGGAACGCGATCCAGCTTCAAACACTGCGAGATTTTCAAAGAAACCGCAAAATTCTACTCAGACGTTTCGTGTTTTTATTAGCGTATAATTTTGACGTTTCTAAATGCTCTTTTTTGGCTGCAATTTCGAAACGCTTTTCATTTATTTTCTTAGACGAGAAACGAAATTGGAGGCTCAAAGGACGTATATATTTCTGAAGTAGAGCCGCGGCCAAAACAGGAATTATTTAGATGCGGGATGTTTCCATTCAATTATAAGTGCTAGTGAAAACATATTCCATTCTTTGCAATCCAAATATATTAGACAACTCAGGTTCAACTGAAAAACAACGCGACAAATAAAAGTAGTGTTAATGCAGTTTGTAAAAAAAGTGTGTGTTCCAAATGGCGCTCTTTGTTCAATTTGCTCACTTTCGGCTGAAATATTCGCCTAAAACCGACATCTTTGGCGCATATAACATCGATATTTCTAAACAATACCCGCTGATGAATTTTCTAAAGAAATTCCAGCAGCAGCTAAAATTCGGCGAAAATTTTCCCTAGATATCCAAAGAATTCCGCAACAATTAATATAGATACACGGAAGCGAAAAATAGAAAGAACGGACACTGCAGAACATTTCTCCTCGTTTTGGCGAAATGTTTCTGAACTTTTACTGGAATTGACCGCCTGTGGTCGCCAAAAGGGAGTAGACGAGAACTAAAAGGAAAGTTCGAAACAAAGGAATTTTTCAAGGTAGCAGTTCGGAAGTTTAAACACTGTTTTGTGTAGGGTTAGGTTTGTTGGAGAGTTTCTAGGATTCGGCTACTTATTGCAGGTGAAACAATGTATTATATGACGTGGCATTTTGCGCTTTTGCATTACATTCAGTGCGCTCTTTTAATTATTCTTTTTTAAAAAAAGTGGATTATTTACTCTTTGTACATAAAATGCCAAGAATTTTTATAAATAGCAGGAACCGAATTGAAAATTATCTGTTGAGCAATTCTAAAGAAGCACAAGGAAATTACTCAGGATGAATTGAAACGCACTTGCCATTTTATAGTTATTTTTATCTTTTTTCACTTATTCTGAGGCAATCCTCTACTAAAATGACTACACACGTGCATTACCTACAGAAACATGCCGACATTTTTAAAGTTATATGCGTTGTTTCTTCAAATTATGCGAAAATTTGCACAGCTTACTATCAAGAGTAATTGATCTTCGCTGCTGTTTCCCGCTTTAACAATCATCAAAAATATTCTAGTTCTGAATATGCAGAAACCGTTAGTTTTATGGAATTATTCTATGGAAGTATTAAGGT